GGGGGGGGGGGGGCATTCGTGTTTCGAGTTTGTAGGAATTGACTGAAAACATACGGCGTACAACGACTGAAAACTTAACATGACTACAACACCAGACGGCTAGCAGTGAAATGTTTATCTCGTCATGCGCCTGGGGGTGGGGTTGGTGAAGCAAAGCGGGAAAGGCAGAGAGCGAGAGGCACACACACGCAGGGAGACGCAGCGGTCCGGGGGGCGGGGAAGAGAGAAGACACTAAGGAGGAAGACCAATATTCTTGGCCGCACTTTTGGCAACTCTCGCTTGGGACAGCGCAGCGAGCACGCGTGCGCCACACGGACGGCCGCGAGGAATCAGCGGCATGGTGGAAGTTCCAGCTTGACGCCACGATGAGGCAGCACGCTTTGACGCTGGCAGAAGCAGTATTAAAGTGGCGCTGACAGCAGTAAGTGACGGCGGTGATTGTTTTGTAACCACCCAGTATCAGGAGGCAGGGGCATTGTTTCCGGTCCACCTCACACGGCCTCACATGTCAGGGGGGCGAGGGCCCGCGGATCACTTCCCCTCACGGCCTCCGTGCCAGGGGGGGGGGGCGTAGATCACGAAGGAGTGTACACGCGATTTCCGCAACATGACTGACCCTTCTTTCTTGGGTCTCTTCGGTTTACCGCGGTGCTACTGCAGATGCTAATCAAAGTATGTAACCCACGAGTTCGCACACATGCACAGGGCTTGGGGAAAGCTGTGGCGTACAAGTGTCTTCTCGCAAAATGGGTTAGTGGAGAATACTATTTACTTCCGGGAGTCGTTCACTTTCCAATCTTGATTTTGGTTCCCTTCGGGGGGCCTTTCAGGTTTTGTTACCATTCGAAAGCAACGTCGTTTCATGTGGCAGCTTGCCAGCAATTGTGAGGCCAGCAAGCAGAAACAGACACACGAGACACACACAGGGTTTTGGGTGTGATGTGTCTCTCGGAAAGCATACATAGCTTTGGCACCCTGGGTGTCAACGACCTTCAAGCTCTGTCTTTCGGGAGGCTTTGATCGATAACCGTTGACATTTCAACAAGCTTTTTTATTAGTTATCCGGCAAAGTGCGGTCGAGCCAATACACACACCAAACCTCAGCCTGAGAAAAGGCGCCCGATGAACAAGAAATAAACACCCTGGAAAAAAACCCTGGCAACACAACACCCAGCACAGGTACACGTGTACCATTCTTGAGGGTGCGACGTTGAATGAATCGTGTGCGCGCAGGGGGTTGATGATAAGTAATGTGCTGTTGCAGGTGTGGTGTGCTGTTCCAGCTGTACATCCCCATAGGGCTGCTTCGTAGGGTATCGCAAAGATTTTCGGCGAGCCAGGAGACGGGGGCGGGGGGTAGGCAAACGGAGCAAATAAAGCCTCGTTTGTAGACCTTCTTCGTCGTCCAAGCGTCCTCCGGGGAAAAAGGGCTGTGAGATTGGAGGCCAAACAAACCCCACGACACACGAGCGAGAGCAGCTGGCGGGGGGAGGGGGAGTCGTGTGTGTTGTCTTAGATAGCATCGACCGCGTTACATAACCGGCTTACTTACCAATGAAAATACGCCAGTCTTTGTAGCATGTAGCGGGATGAAAAATACGAGCACGCTTCTAGGCAAACGGTAAGGGTTTTTGTGTGTGTGTGTGAACAACATCACATGCCGCAGAATTCGCGTCCCTATAACCAACGATGGGGGATCGTTTCGGAGGGGGGGGGGGGGTAAGTAAGTCAGCACGAAAGACCCAAAGGAGAGAGAGAGAGAGAGTGTTTTGCTGCTGAAGGGCACCTTCGCACGTAGTTCTCGTTCTTTGCGGCTGCTCGCTCCAGCCTCGCCTTTTCCATCTGCGACAAAGGTAGGCCAACAAAAAAGGGGCAAGGAGTACAAAGGGGGAGATATTTAGAAGAGAAGAGGTGCCCCAAGACTTTGGGCTTTGTGGCATGGTGAGGATGAGGGATGGGGGGCTAAAGACAGTCAAGATTTATTTGAAGACCATCTCGGCCGGGACATCTGAAGCAAGAGAAGAGATGGCCGCGGTTTGCGTGCGCTGGTCCAGACTTCCGGAACGTGAGATTCCCTGCAGAGGGAAAACAGGGTTGCGTCCCAAAACACGAGGGGGACCACAGCAAGGAAGCAGCACTCTCATGACACGCCCACCGACAGACGGGGAAAGGGGCAAGCCGGCGGAAGAGCCGTTCCGGCTCGGGTACCTCGCGCTGAGGACGGACCAGTCTACAACGCCATCATCATGAGCGACCGAGAGACTTTCAGACGCAAGCAGTAAGTATAAAGAAATTCAGTGGCAAGGGTACAAAAAAAAAAGAACGGGTTTTGCTCCGTGCGAAACACCCCGGTGTATCATACGGCGTCGTACTCGTGCGATGGATGTTAGGCCGTCGGACGTGTGAGTGTAGAGCGCACAAGACAACACGACGATCAAAAACGATAACAAAATGACGACAAGAGCAAAAAAACCAAAAGAAAACAAGGGGGTTTTACCTTTCCGATCAGGTTTCCGTGGATGTAGCCTCGTCGGTTGTCCAGCACTTGGCCTGGCTGGAGCTGTTGCTCCTGGCGCTCTTGCATCGCAGCCATCGTCTTGGCTATGGCCTCCTGCGCTACTTGTTGAGGAGTGAGCTGCTGCTGCTGCTGTGGTTGCTGGTGCTGGTGCTGGTGCTGCTGCTGTCCCGCCGCCGGCGCTGGTGCTGCCACCGGCGCCACCCCTACTCCTGGGTAGGCGTAAGCTCCGAGGGTTTGGCCGGGGGCTGCGGGGGGCGGTTGCTGCGGCGTCGCCAACAGTGGTAGCGACAGAGGCTGCTGCTGCTGTGGCTGCTGCTGATACTGCTGCTGTTGTGGATACTGCTGTTGGTAGCCAACCGGTTGCTGCTGCTGCTGCTGCTGCTGCTGCTGTTGCTGCGGCTGTGGCTGTTGCTGCGGGTAGTGCCCGTACGCGGAAGCAGCGGAGGCGTATCCCCCAACCGGTGCTCCGGGCGCCGGCAGGGCGGCGTATTGCTGCTGCTGCTGCTGCTGCTGCTGCTGCTGCTGCTGCTGCTGCTGCTGCTGTGGTGGTTGGGCAGCGTACTGCTGCTGTTGGCGATGTGCAGCACTGCTTACAGCAGCAGGCTGCTGGTGTTGCGGCTGAGCCTGCCAGGGCTGCGGGTACGAGGCGTACGCTGGTGCGGGCGGGGGTGCAGCGGCCGCCCCCGGAGCCACCGCAACAACCTGCTGCTGCTGCTGCTGCTGCTGCACGGGATACTGCTGCTGCTGCTGCTGCTGCTGCTGCTGCGCGGGTGGTGGTGCTGGTGAAGCGGTACCGTAAGCGGCGTAGTACCCGGCGGGTGCCGCCGCCGTCGGCTGAGTAGGGGTCATCACGGCTGCTGCTGCCGCTGCTGCTGCAGTTGTTGAGAAAAAAGGGCAAACACGCGAACCCAACAGAAATGGCGAGAGCGGCAAAAGACTGAAATGAGATGCTTGTTGTCAGCCTCCCAAACATCGTCCCTGCTCTCTGCTAACTAGTGTCATGCTGCTGGTTCTGCTCGCTTTCGCCGCAGCATGTGGGAGGCAGGCCTCAGCGCAACTCACGCCCGCGAGGGTTTGTTGAGACAGGTCCCGATTTTGCTTTCGAGCGGGCAGTAGTAGTGTAGCGTATGGCATGCTACAATGCGCCCCGTACTATGCCGGGGGGTATTCGAGCCGAGATCGCAATATAATAACAGTATGCATAGCGCCAACAAATTGCTGCAAACCATGTCCGGGCGAGACACGGACCGCTCGCAGTGTAGGGCTTGATGGGTTCGTTGCACGCGGGCACGGGGGCAGCAAAGAACACTGGTTACATATGCAGAGCTGAAATAAACACGCGAACTGCTGCAGTGTTGTAGATGGTGCAAATTTCACAGTCCTGCGGAGCTTGCGCAATCAGAGAGAAAGCCGTGCGGCCTATCCATGCTTTTTATCTTGAGAGGTCCGGCAAAAAAAAAACGCGCAATGTGTACAGATTGGCACACTTGTGCCCGAAATTTCTGCTGTTGTCATGCCACCCGTCGACACCAGGTTCATTTTTTCCAACCACTACTATGGTACTGACAGGCGAACGAAGACCGCGGCCGTGTGGAGTGGACAGCAAACAGAGAGCTCGAGGCGTGCAAGGCTATAGACGAAGGTCCACGGATCTCACTGAAACGGAAGGGTCGCATTGACACTCACCGCTGTGCGTGTGCAACCCAAGGGGCTTGGACAGTGCTCGGGTAGAGTGCCTGTCCCGTGGGCGTCCGCCGCCGCTAGAGAGAATACACAGCAGAGAGAGAGAGGGAACAACACACTGGCAGTACGGAGCACTCAGTAAAAGCCAAGGTGGAGGGGCACGCACAGAAAATTCTACCTTGAAGTACGGGGATGCACACATCAACTTCTCATTCGTTGTGCCCCCGCTGAAATACGGTAGCTGCGGCGCCTCCAGGCAGGCTGTCCACGTCCTAGCTGGAGGGAGAGCGACAGGGAGGGAGTTTGGACGGGAGAACGAAGGGTTCGGCGTGGAGACAGCATGGCCGAGATGCAGCAAGAGGAACCGCCGATGTGCGGCGTGTGCAACCACCGCCATCACCAGGTATTGAACGTGCGGTGTGTGTGTGCAAGAAACAGCTCAAGGAAGAGAGACACATCCAAGGGGATGTCTCGTTCAAAGACACTATTTTTTGTTGTTAACAGAGCCCGGTGTGTGCGAGATATAGCTACCTATACACACACGTTGATCTGGGCGAATGTCTTCTTCAAGTTCCATCTCGCACGCGGGCGGTGTCGCGTTTTGGGTGATTTGGTCACGGCATTTTATGTTCTCGTCGTCGTCTCTTGTCTCCCGATCTTGATCTGTCCGCTTCGGCGACAGACAACGGCAGTCGGAAGCAAGCTCGGCTGCCTTGCTGCTGCTCTGCTGTCATCCCAAGAGAGAAATCAATCGCCCGGGACTTTGTAGAGAGAACGGGGTAGTATTCCGTCTTGTCTAGTCTTATCGTCCTTTGGCGTTGAAGTTCTTAGCGGCTGGAGTCACGCCGCAGCCTCCTATTGTCGTGCGTCTACAGTACCATGTCACAACAGCAAGTGTTGTACTCGTGTGTGCTGCACACGCTTAGTGTTTCAGATGATTTAGGTCCGCTCTCGGGTGTATGTAGAGTATGCTTGCAGCCACGCGAACTCACGATGGCGAGCGAGGTTGTCACGCCGCCGGCTGCTATGTCACTTTGTGCTCGTCACAACACACACACACACAACACGCACAACACACACATGCCGATATGCTAATAATAAAAACACACGCATGCCGATGCTAAATAGTAACGCATGCACGCACGACCGAAGGCTTCTCTGTTGTTGAGAGAGTACCTGATATAGGTGGTGGCGTAGTAAAGGTCCTTGAGCAGCAACAACAGCTTAGTCAGATTCAATTTACACACAACCTCTTCATGTCGCAAATGCCTTGTCAGCAAGTAGGCCAACACGCCGCCTTATTTAACACGTTATTTGATACTTCAAGAGTTCATTCTTGTTGTTTTTAGCAAAGTGATCGACGGCTTATAAAGGGGGGCGCGTCCTACCTAGCTTGTGTGTACGTTACTTCTAGCTGATTTGACGATTTTTTTCGCAATGGTTGATGCAAATTACGCATTTCATTTGCATGCAAACACAGAATCCCAAGCATTTGATTGCTGCTGTTCATACACGCCGTCAACATGAAGTTGATGGGGACCTGTAAGTCGAGGTGGGCGTACATGTGCAGCTCAGCTTCAATTTCTTTCTTCAGACCACCGTGGCTCTCCGCTTGCGCGTGCAGGCTAACGCCTACCTAGGCTTGTTGTTGTCCCGGCATTTTTTCGCGTAGCTGGACCGCTGTTCCCTCACGTCCTCATCTTCAAGACACTCACACACTCAGCAAACAGCTGATAACACATGATGCAGCAACAATGACGTTTGGTGGCGGTTCAGAAGCAGGCAGGGCACCGTCGTCCAGCTGCTGCGGGCCCCCCGTCGGCTTGAAACCTTCGAGCGTGCTCTCGTTTTTTATCCCGCTACAGTTGGCGCCCGCGCTTAAGAACCTCTTACTTAGGGTGAGGCTCGTATGTTAGTTTCTCTGTGGGGTGCCCCACAGCGACTATGTGGGTTTTAGTGTACGATTCTTGGCTGAGCACGTGTTCTTTATGGCCAAGTTCTTTTAAGTTCTCATGCTTCGAGCCTGAATTTCTTCAATCCCAGATTCTCGAGTGCGGGCGCCAACTTGTACAGTATACTGCAAAAACAGACGCAGCAGTGTTTTCATTGGTCGGCCGGTTTGTTCAGCCGGTTTCAGCGCGCTCGATGCTGCAGCAGTACAGTACAGTACAGCAGTGGTTAGCGCACGCTCTCTCAAGAACATGGCAATTGAGATATAACGTACGTAGCGATAACAGCCTCGAAAAGCTCAAAACATAACAAATTTTGAGCAGCACCGTTCGTTTGTGAGCCGGACTAAATGAGAACTTCACTTACCCTTCTCTAGCGACCATTCGCATCATAGCATCGAAACTAACAACTCAAGGCCTCCGCCGAAGCTTGAGGTTTCTCATGTGCGGGCGATATAACTGTTGCAACAAAAAAACGCAACGGGGCACGTACGCGCGGAAGGACCGGTCTCACAGCAGCGGTGATATTGGGTTGTACTGTACCGCCCAACGCTAACGCTAACGCTAACGCTAGAAATCCCCGGATGTAAATAAAATCCCCGGGTTCGATTGTATCCCGTGGTGAGCGGCTTCGTTCAGTTTGTAGCCTTCGGGAGGAGAGTAGGATTGGTTTTGCTAGGGGGTATGGGGTGGGGTTGGTGGTTAGAGTTAGGGTATGAGATACGAAACTACGGAACCCCCCGCTCAATTTCACTAGGGGGTATGGGGTGGGGTTGGTGGTTAGGGTTAGGGTATGGGATACGAAACTACGGAACCCCCCGCTCAATTTCACTAGGGGGTATGGGGTGGGGTTGGTGGTTAGGGTTAGGGTATGGGATACGAAACTACGGAACCCCCCGCTCAATTTCACTAGGGGGTATGGGGTGGGGTTGGTGGTTAGGGTTAGGGTATGAGATACGAAACTACGGAACCCCCCGCTCAATTTCACTAGGGGGTATGGGGTGGGGTTGGTGGTTAGGGTTAGGGTATGGGATACGAAACTACGGAACCCCCCGCTCAATTTCACTAGGGGGTATGGGGTGGGGTTGGTGGTTAGGGTTAGGGTATGAGATACGAAACTACGGAACCCCCCGCTCAATTTCACTAGGGGGTATGGGGTGGGGTTGGTGGTTAGGGTTAGGGTATGGGATACGAAACTACGGAACCCCCCGCTCAATTTCACACGGCGGGTTGGTGACAAGATCGTCGCGAAGGCGGTCTGCTTTGTTCGGGGTGTGTGTGTGTGCTTCCTTCTGTGCAGACGGTAGACTCGCCTTCAAGTTTCTTGACCCGAGTCATCTGGTAGTCTTTGAGTACATTGGCAACGGACGCATGGTCCGCCATTTCCCCCCTTTTCGTTATTCGCGGTGTTTTGAGGACTTGCCTTTGTGGTTTTGTGGAGAGAGGTTAAGCCCCCGCCCGGAGCTTGGAAACGTTGATACATCACACTCGACGACGGTGGCATAAATTGTCTTATTTATGGTTAAATTGTCATGTTTATGGTTAAATTGTCTTATTTATGGTTGAACCTGCTACCCAGAATCCAGAGAAGGGGAAGTGTTTGTTTGTCCTCCTGCCCGCCACACTACGGTGAGCGCTGCCGATCCACCGCCTGGTGCTCTTCTGGCAAAAGGAAGATCCGCAGTTCTCGGCTCGTCTTGTTTTCGTTTGGTCGTTTGCCCTGACGAGAGCCTGACCAGCGAGAGACCCAAGCGAAAAGGTGCGGTTTTGCGATGGCCTACTTTCCGAAGCCTGCTTTTCGAGCGCGAAGAACCGCCGTCACACCGGAACCCGCATCTTCTGGCAGTTTTTTTTCTTATTTTAGTCCTTTCTTCTCTCGCCTATGGTAACATGTGCGTTTTTTTTTTGTTGATTGTCCGCACCCCGCACACCCCTCGGGGCCCGATCCTGCGGCTCGTTCGTGCTCACTAGTCCTGCCTTCTTCCCCATGTATGTTTTCATTTGCGGGCGAACTTCTGCGTGGCCAGGGGGTGAAGTGCGCCATCTGCGGGCACAAGGGGAAGGGCAAGGTGTACCAGATGCTGACGGACATGCCCTGCGAGAAGGGGCTCAACTTCCGCTTCTTCGACCAGCGCACGAACAAGCAGTGGTTCAAGGGGTACTGGGCGCTCGCCCGCATAATCCGAAGGTAGGTAGTTGCACGCACGTTACGAGGGCAGGGCGCAGGGGGGCTATGGCCCCCCCATGTCCTCGGATTTGCGGGTGGTGGTCACACTTGTAGGAGGCGGTAGGCATAGACCGAATAACCTGTGGAACGCACTCGAGATGGCTGACAACCGTTACGCATGTACGGGGCCAACGAAGAATAGAATGAGGCGATTACACGAGACCGTATGGCGCACAAGGTTTATTTACTCCTTGAGGACCGTGTGGAGAATGTGCGGATGGGTGGTCGGATGGGTGGTTTTTGCACGGGGGACGGCGGAGAAGTGGGGGGGTTGCAAGCGACAAGATATGTGATAATCATTCGCTGCTGTTGGTGCTGCCTTGGCCGCTTCTGTAACCGCTCCTGACTTCGTTGCGCACCTCACTCTCTCTCTCTCTCTCTCTCTCTCTCTCTCTCTCTCTCTCTGTTTCTGTGCGTGTCTGTCTCTTTCTCCCCTCTGCGCATCGTCCCTGTCCCTGTCCTTGTCCTTGACAACCCTTTTGACTATCTGAAGGAGAGTGTACTGCGAGGAAATGGGATTGACGTCGCAGCAGGAGTTCACAGAGATGGACCCTACCAGCCGACACGTGCTCATACAGAGTGAGTTAGACGTTGTCACTTTGCTGTTTGCTCTCGTTCTTGTCTCGACTCACGTGCCGCGTCGAATGACGTACACCTCTCTCCCTCGTTTACCGCGAGCGAAAAGTAAATCACTAGTCAGTTACCTCAGTTTTCAGAAGGCATAGCATGTTTTTTCAAATGGTTGGAGTATGGAGTATAGACTTTCGTTGTCAGCTTGTGTGTTGTGTATGTCACCGGCAAGTAATGGCGGCGAAAATGTCGTAACCCGAAGCGAATGGGGTGGGGAGGTGTGAGACCTTGGCCTATTAGTGGGATGCAGGCCGCTCGTTGTCACACAAGGTCATCTTGATATGGCGTGTCCCCCCAAAACTGAATACACACTAAAATCAATCACTCCATCAAGGTAAAAACAAAACCAACGCACAGACTTCCTGTACAGCTTGCCCAAAAGTGCAACAGGTTTTATGCTGTTGGCGTGTTTCGTTTCTCGAGGCACACCTTGCGCGCTTCGTTGTTTTTTGCGTCATCGGACTGCTGTTATTATGAAAAAAGACCAGAAAGGGGGCACGCAGACCGTAACTCTAAATATGCCGATTCTATCCCTTGTCCAGGTACGTTTGCTTAGTTTACTTAGAGAAGCCTGCGTAGACCTTTTCTACTGGCGTTGTGTCTAACGGTTCTCCTGTAGGTTGCATACGGAAGATATCACACGCCACTTGGACCAACTTGCAACACTCAATTCTCTGCAGCGGCAAGAACAATAGTGGCGGCCGTACCGAACAACGGCGATAGTCTGGTTGAGAGCTTTCTCACGGCGCATCGTTTGATTTTGTCGTCCTCTTTGGGAGCGTTCGAGCTTTGAGAATCGGTCCAGGGGGGGTGGTATCTTGTTTTTCAAACCTGCGGTGTTCACGTGCTTTTGCCCCTTTACATCACACCGGTGGAGCAGCTCCGAGATCGGTCTGGGCCGTTCTTGGTTCCCTTCCAATGCTCAAAGAGGAATAAACGATGTTCCAATACCACGACTCCTTCCCCCCTCTTCATTGCGTATCGAATCAGCACTCATGATACATACATTTTTCCGTATCGAATCAGCACTCATTGTACATACATTTCTCCGTATCGAATCAGCACTCATTATACATACATGTTTCCGTATCGAATCAGCACTCACATGATCCCATGATTGCGTATCGAATCAGCACTCATGATACATACATGTTTCCGTATCGAATCAGCGCTCATTATACATCCATGTTTCCGTATCGAATCAGCACTCATGATACATACATGTTTCCGTATCGAATCAGCACTCATGATACACACATGTTTCCGTATCGAATCAGCACTCACATGATCCTATGATTGCGCATCGAATCAAACTCGTGATTTCGTATCGAACCAGCACTCGCATTGATTAACCTGATTGCTCATCGAATCAACACTCACAGTGATGCATGATCGCGTATCGTACCATTACTCGCGATAAAAACTTTTTTTGCGTATGGAATCGACGCTCATAACGTCACGGAACTCGTACCCCAACAGTGGGTGACGCGCCCCTGGGCTACGGGCGGTGGCGCTTCGAAACTGGACCCGCGGGGCAGGGGCAGGGACAGGGGCAGCAGCAGTTGCAGTACGCGATGGTGGATAGATTATGCGTCCTCAAGGAGTATCGCCAGCGGGGGTTTGCCAAGTCCTGCCTGGAGAGGATCGTGCACGACGTGTCCACCCAAACGGCGCAGGTGCGGTTGTAGGGAGAGAGAGACAAAGACAGAGACAGATGGAGAGCGAGGTAGAAACAGAGACAGACGAACCCACACACACAGAGCGAGAGAGATATGTTAATAGTTGGTCCAGTCCTTCCGCTGTCGGCGCCGGCACCTGAGTATAAATATATGTTAGCCTTGCGGTGTGTGCCTTTTCGGCATATTTGGCGCTGAGACAGGGGTCGCGCAGAAGGATGCCCCGCCCTCCTTTTCTGCTGGAACGTTCGTTGAAGGTTCCGGTCCTTGACCGCGAAACATTTAGTTAAGTTGGGGTGCGGGTTCGTTGGAGCCGGGGTTGTAGAACTTTTGTTTCTTGCCGGAACGCCTTAACCAAGTGAAATCAAGTGTGGTATGATAACCACGAGCAAGGTGTTCACGCCATCGAAGAATCAGCAGCTAGCTCGTTGTACGTAAAAGACTTGCTTATTTTTCTTTGGTTTGATTTGCTTTGCCGCCTTTACGCATCTCTGACCTCCCGAGTCCGAGGAGGTAAGTCCGAGTGTGGTCATCCAACTGTGATCCCCGAACAAATGGGGAACCCATTGCCCTTGCCCTACCTCGGCCAAGCAGCTACACATGCTGCCACCGCGATGCCATGGGGTGTGGCTATGTAGCACCCTTTTCTTCGCCGCTGTTGCGTGGTGTTGCATGTCCGCGTACTTACCCGGGTTTTATCTGAAACAGAGACAGACCTCTTGTTGCGCGCTGGCAGGAGTGCTCCGCCGAGTTGTTGTTGCCTGGCGCCTTGTACCAAGCATCGAAACTCTTTCCCCGGCCCGCACGCACGTTACGCTTCCCACCTCGCCCTTGTGTATTCGTGTGGCTTATTTTTTTATTGTTTTTTGCGCCCGTGTCCATCGCACCTTAACCCGGTCCAGATGAAGACTGCGGTCGCAGCGATCGTCGTGCCAGCCCCACCAAACACCTTCGCACATCAGAAGCTAGGAGAACGAGGCTGGACGCCGCAGGTGCGAAATAGAAGAGGGGGAAGGGGAGAGGAGGGGAGTGGATATGCACTGCTGCTTCTGCTGCTGGCGGTGGTGTCTTGAGATCGTGTATTGCGTGCCGTGCGCTTGCATCCCTTTGTCGCCGGGACGGCGCACGGACGTGGGGTTCGCGCTTCTTGCCAGACCGGTTAACCATGCGCACCACCGGGATCTTGTGTTGTGTGCGCGTGCGTGTGTTACAGCATCGACCGCGCCAACCGGCTGGCCTACGCTGGGTACATGTCTGTATGTGTTGTTTTGCGACGGCCGTCGGAGGCAGGAGAAGGCGCAGTAGTGTGTTTGGGTGACTTTTGTGGACGCATGAGTAGAGTCGGGACACTGATTTCGCCGCACAGAGAGCGTGTGAAGCCGGATTTCTGAGGCAGCACAACGGCGCTCTATGACAACCGCCAGCTTTTTTCGTGGTGCTAATTTGTCTCCTGTCCAAACACCATGTTTTTCTTGAACTTGGAAATGCCATGTTTTTCTTGAACTAGAAACGAGGACGTGGAACCTACAGTGCAACTTCGCGCCGAGGGAAAGGATCGAGTTGGAGTGCAGAGCACTGCGATTAGTTGTGTTTTGCAGGTCAGTCGTAGATGGGGAGGACACGTACAGCATTTGTCTGTGCTTCGTTTCATGGGCGAACACCATTCCCTGCGAACTATGCCGCGTACCTGACCCCCCCCCCCCCCCCCCCCC